GCTTTACTTAATATATACAAATGATGTTGCAAATGTACTAGAAAATGAGGTGGTACTCTTTGCCGACGATACTTCTGTGCTCTGTTGTAACAAAACCAAAAACGAATGTGTCACAAATGTCTGGGAATCACTTGAAGGTCTTCAGAATTGGTTTACAAACAACAATCTTCAACTTAATGTGGCAAAAACACAAATTATAAACTTCAATCTAAAACCTGAAGAAATAATGATATTGACTACAATGACACTACAATTGCTACAAAGGGAAATGTTACCTTTCTCGGAGTGGTGCTGGATGAGAGGCTGGACTGGCGTGCACATATTGACCAGCTTGCAACAAGCATGAGTAAGTACTGTTACGTCCTAAGGGTTCTTAGAGACTCGGCAGCGCTAACAGCTAGCCAAGCTTACATCCAATCAAGGGTGAGATATGGTGTCATTTTTTGGGGTAGTGTCTCGGAGTCGCAAAGAATTCTCAAGCTTCAGAAAAGGTGCTTAAGGACAATTTATCAAAGAAAAAGTACGGAAAGTTGTAAAAATCTTTTTATTGAGAGTAGTGTGGAAACAATTTTTAATATCTACATCTTAGAGTGCATAAAATTTGTATCAGAAAACCCAGATATTTTTGACCAATAAAAGCAGACCACCCCCATGATACTAGGTTTAAAGAAAACTTAAAAACAGAAACCGCTCAGTACTCATACATTGCAAAGAACGTTAAGCATAGCATTCTGAGGGTCTGGAATGCTATTCTCATTTCATTTCGAAGGCAACTGCCACAGAATATCAAAAGAGGAATTAAAACATTCCTAAACACAAAAGCTTACTACAGTCTGGATGAGTTTTTCACTGATCCACAAATTGACAACTTGGTAAAGTAAAATTTCTTAATATCAAAACACAAACGCAATCATTATCAAACTAACACAGACAAATGGCATAGATGGAGACGCGCACTTGGTCCTTTCTGTGCAGGCTCTAGAGGGCTCAGGACATCTGGAAATTGCAGGAGCAATATTTGATTTATGTGTTCCTTATTGTATTATGTAAATTTTAAGGATTTTTGTGACTATTTATATTTTTATATTTTATATTTTGTGTTTGTATGTTTGATATTATTATTGTTATATGTAATAGTATATGTAATAATCTTTGTTATTTATGACATGATCAACACCCTAGAGGTAAAAATGTAGAAAACTTGTGATACGCAGTATACTGTGAATTGTATTTGTCTTTTTTACATGATCGAATAAAGAATCTATCTATCTATCTAGGAGTGTTCATTGATACAAAGGTAAAATGTGAGGATCATATACAGGTAGTGCGAAAAAAATTGGCATCGGCATGTATGCTATAGGGATGGCAAGAATGGATTTAGGCCAGGATGTTACAAGGGGAATATATTTCGCCCTTGTGGAATCGCATTTGAAGTACGGAATTCAATTTTGGGGTTTTGCAAACAATCAACTCATACAATCCGTCTTCGTACTTCAAAAGCGGGCTGTACGACATTTGTGTGGAGTTGGTCCTAGGGAGCACTGCAAGCCATTATTTATTCGGGAGAGGATCCTCATTTTTATTCTTATAACAGTAGACATGGCCCACAATAGTATAGGAATCCAGTCAATAATTCAGCAAGAGTGGCAAGATTCAATAGTGATAATTTGAGATTGCCTGTCCCTAAAACTACTTTGACAAAAAACTCAATCATATATGAAGGAGTAAAAATGTTTAATCACCTGCCTCTGGAACTTAAAAACTTGGAAAGCAATAGGATTTTCAATAAGCATGTTAAAAGGCTATTATTGAGTAAGGCCTATTACTACCTTAACGAATATTACAATGATAGATTTTAATTATGTAGGTTTTCTTTTTTCAATTATTTTGTTTTTAAATTTGTTATTTATTTTATTGTTTTTAATTGTTATCGTTTCCAACTCAAGCACCACGTTTGCACATAACTTATATCTTTATTTTTATTTCCAGCTTTGTAAGAGAGTGTCTCGGAGAGTGTTGAGCTCTTTGTACAATTAAGCATTTTTGATTTGATTTGATTTTGATTTGAAACTTTGGGAGAATTTTTAAATAAAAATGAATGACCAAGCTCCAAGACAAAACTAGATTATTTTTTTTTTAATTTGCAGTTAGTGTCTCTTTCAATAGGAATGTGAAACTCAGTGATATCATGACATAATTACCCTACAATTTCCTTTTCATAAATTCTACAAATTTCCTATAAATTCCCTCAAATTCTCATAAATTCCTCCAATTTCCGATAAATTCCTGAATTCCCCACATTTTTGGTTTGCCCCTTGACGGTTTGTTAGAAACTCGGTTAGACATGAGCGTTAAAAGGTGGCCTCCTGAAAAATCTGCGATAAACTGATCATAGAATAAGGATTATAGTGGCCTTAGTAGATATTATGAGGATACTATAATAAAATGATTTCGGTTGAAAATCTTTCACCTTAGCCTATTTGCAATAAAAATAAATTATAACCACAAGCAATTTAAATATTAATTTTTAGATTGAAGACAAAAAAAGACAAGGAAGAACTTCTAGAAAAGCTAAGGAAGCAGCCAGAACAAGAGGAAAACAGCTATTAAATCGAATTAATGGTCACACAAAACCTAAAAATGCAACAAAAACCGGGACAAAAACCATTCCCAGTAGAAATTCTAACTAAACTTCTGCAAGATGTAAATTCAGAAATTAAACAAAACGAATTTAAAAAAAACGCGAATAGTGTAGTGAGACAATAATAGAGAGCAGATAACGATGGAAAGGATTTACAATTAACTTTGCTGGATCAGCAAATTGAAAAACGAATGAAAAAAGAGCGAAAAGAGAAAGAAAACAAACAAAAAATTAAAGAAGAAAGTTTAAAATTTGAATAAGAACAACAGAAAAAAATGACTAACAAATTCGAGAAAAACAACTCAAATTAAAAGAGCATTTAGATAAGCAAATGGAGGACTTCGAAACAAATTATCAGCAATGAGTTGAGATGCAAAGAGTTTGAAGAACTTTACAAAAACTGAAATTGAAACAAAAAGCCACAACGTACAAGAAACAAATAATTGATATTGCAAATGAAAAAACTAGAATTACAGGAAATGACTCGGGAAATGATGGAAGATGAAAGAAAAAAAACTCAAATTAGAACTTTAATAACTATTGTCAACGAGCAGCAGGAGCTTGAAAAGCAACATCAAAAACCATAGAGGAGTTTCTTTTCGACTCCGAAGTTAAGGCCATTTTACAAACAACAATTAGAAATGTGAAAAAAAAAGGAATGGACTGTTGGATACATTAACAAATCCAAAAAAATATAGAAAAAAAAACATCAGGCTCGAAGAGAACTTATATGTGAAAGAGAGGAAATAATGCTTGATAAAGTTGAATAATACAATCAAGAGTTGGAGCATTTAAAAGTCAAAGAAAATAAAAATAAAAAACACAGGAAGCAGACAATAGATGAAGATGTTCGAGTGCAAACTTCGAAACGACAGAAAGAAGCAAGATGAAAATTGAAAACAAAAGGAAATTGATGACATGATGAATTAGAGTTAAAAATGATAAGAGGAAAGATTGCACATGGAGATAATGGAAATACAGAAGAAAGAGGTGCTTTTGAGGCCTAGAGTTATGCCTGTATTACATATGTGTATTTTTCTGTGTATCTTTCATTCTTCTATTCATGTAAGTAGTTCAGGGTGCCAACATTATTTTGTTTTTCATAATGCTGATTTATGTTGCGTGTGAAGTTTTTCGGTTGTCACCATGAACTACATGAATAAATGCACGGAAAAATACACAGATGTAATATGAGCATTATTAAAGGTGGGTTTATACAGCACATAACATAACATAAGAAATAAGATAAAATAAGACATAACATAATATAAGAAATAAGAATTTTGTGGCGTTTATACAGAAAATAACATAACATAAGAAATAATTTCTGACCAATCAGCTGGTACGTGTACTCTACCGAAAACACTATATTTGATAAAAAAAATTATTAATTAATAATTTAGCAGTAACAGAAAATCAATATCGAATTCCAAAAAATTATCATTAGCTGAAAACAAAATCAAAATTTTTTTTTTTTGTTGGAATGTTTTGTTTACTACTCCGCCATTGCCGACATCAAGGGAGGAGCATGCGCAGATCCGTTTTCACATAAAATAAGACATAAAAGTTAAAAGTTAACCAACTTTATTATTTCTTATGTTATGTTATGTTATGTTATTTTCTGTATAAACGCCATAAGGGGTTTCCATAAGTTCAACTTTTTATCTTATGTTATGTTATGTGGCTGTATAAACCCACCTTAATGTTATGTTATTTCTTATGTTATGTTATGTGGCTGTATAAACCCACCTTTAGATTTGTATCAAGAATATTTTTTAATTTGTTTCTGGATATTGTATAGTAGGACATATTATTATATAGGTACACAAAATCTAAAATACTGAAAATTAAACTATATCTCACGAATAATAAGTATATAGTGAAACGTAACATCTAAATTTTTGCTAAAGTTGTAGGTAATCAAATAGATTTTGAATATTCCTGTGGAAATTCTTTTTTGAAAATTTTCGAATAAAATAAATTTTGTCATCAACGGCAACGCTGCATTGCAGCATTTCCTTTAATTTAAGGACTGTTTACACAACAAGTATTCATTAATAAGCAAAAATCCTTTGAAATCGAAGGTTTTGAAACAAAATACAGCCATTGAAATGAAATTTTACAAACAACTCAAATGATTCTATCAAAAACGAATCCTTTAGGTAAATCAAATAAGCTTTAAATTAAAAAACAAATCGCATATTTTTATTTGACATTTCACTTTTTCTTTTCCTCCTACGCAAACATGAAGAAAAATCTTTTGGGTTTTATTTAATTTAAAAATACAATGTTAACAATCAATGCAATATACCTGCAGTATAAATTAATAAATATTATTTATAAGTTTTGTTAAATTTACCATTATCAACGTCTTCCTGCATTTTCTTTTTTATTTAACTTTTTGCACAAGAATTACATTACACAAAACACCCCTTCCTACAAGGAAGGAATGAAAGAGAAAGAAGAATGCATTGCACTGACATCTGTGTGCGATTTGGAAAAGTCCAATTTACACCATAGAAAAATAAATTTAAAAAACCAATAATAATTTATTAATTGGTAAATGAAAACGAAAAACGACTTAATTTGAAAATAAAATAAAAAAAAAATTGAATTATATTTATGTGCAGTGTATTGTAATAAATAAAATATTAGAATTCAAAATTTCCCGCTAACAAGTCACGTGACCTACTTCCTCAAATCAGCTGCTAGACGTCAAATGTGACAATCCTAATCAAATAATTCGGAAACAAAAAAGCTAAGTGAAGCTTTGTCGGGTTGTTTTTTCGCGTTTTTTCCGTCTTTTCTTTATTATTTTTTAAGAAAAATGTGATGGTTCATTGAAATTACGTTTCCTTTCTTATCATAGACCATTCTTTGTGGGAAACTCTGTCAATTTTCATTCATTTAAATAGGATTTCTGATTGCAAAACTGTTCACTTCCTGCCTCCTGGAAGGGAAAATTAAAGATGGTTCGAGGTAAAAGTGCATTTAATTTTTATAATTATGGTATTTGTTGTTGTTTCTGTATTTGATTATTCAAGGCCTGATATTATTGTCTTTTTTTAAAGACAATTCATTGGTCACAACAGGAGAATTTGCTTTGAAAAAAAAGACATACCTAACCACATTTTTTTTTCAATTAAAAAAGTACCTACATATTATTTTGAAATCTACTAGTCTCACATTAAAACTAAAACCAATATAAATTCCTATTTATTTTAATAATTCTCCTTTATACACTAGTTGCAGCTGTCTATTTTTCTATTTTATTAAAAATCGAATTATAAATATTTGAAAGAGAAATCATTGAAGTTCATTGCTGACATCCAATGCTGACTCTCAAATCTTATGCTAAAGCAATAAAATATGTTATTATATTTTTCCTACAGCCGTGCGGAAAAATCGATTTTCCGCACTGATATGCATGCGGAATATGAGTTTTCCCGCACGGTGTGGTAAAACTTTTTTTTTTGACATATCAGTGCGGAAAAAGTTTTTCCGCACGGCTATCAGTGCGGAAAAAATTTTACCACACTGATATGTCAAAAAAAAAAAAGAAAAATTTTACATTTTTTCGCCTGTAGGAAAAATATTGTACCTAACACTTGCGGAAAAATTCATTTTCCGCACTTGTTAGGTAAATAGCTATTTTCTACTTCTGTGCATAAAGTACCTCTTACTTTACGAAGTGTTTAAAAGACGTAAAATTATATTTCATGAACTAGTGTTACAATGTTGCAAATAAAGTAACTGACTTTATACACTAGCGCGTAAAAAATCGCTGAAAAAGTTTAATAGGTAAATTGTTACTGTTTTACTTTCTTTGCAAAACTTCCTAAATACCTACAAATATAAATTTTGATATTATAAAAGCCTTTGCATTAAAAATGTCTCCTCTTTGTTGCTCTTCCTTTATTTTTTTGAAATTTTGACTATTCAAGGCTTTTGAATTTCTGTTTTCTTCTAAATTTATTTTTCGATAGAATAAAATAGAATGGAATTTTATTCACAAACAAGCCATTTTACAGTAGGTACAATAATCCTTAATCTATACAGGGTGTCCCACGATGGATGGCGTATTAGACGTTTATGGAGAACTAAAAAGCGGATCATTTTGAAAATTTGGCAACCGGGATAAACGACCATGATCTACACTTTAAAAATATTTTTGACCATGCGGTGTTACCGCTTCTACTCTAAACTAGTGGCAACATCACTATTTTAAATGGAACACCCCGTATTAAATTGCATATTTGGATTCTACGTAAAATTCTAAGCAGATTTCATGTGATATACCCTATACCTAAGTTCAACTGTTTTGGAAATATTGACAGTTGAAAATTGACTTTTTGCAACTTTGACAGGCTGTAGAACCTGAACGGTTAATTTTAGAGGAAAACCGATTTTACATTCCTATCTTAGATTTTTATAAACTATCATTTGACACCAACTTAGAATTAAATCCATGATTAAAAATTTCAGTTAAATTTAATCTCTGGTTAAGTTCAAAGTTGGTGTTAAATGATAGTTTATCAAAATCTAAGACAGGAATGTAAAATCGGTTTTCCTCTAAAATTAACCAATTAGATTTTACAGCCTGTCAAAGTTGCAAAAAGTCAATTTTCAACCGTCAATATTTCCAAAACAGTTGAACTTAGGTATAGGGTATATCACATGAAATCTGCTCAGAATTTTACGTAGAATCCAAATATGCAATTAAATACGGGGTGTTCGATTTAAAATAGTGATGTTGCTACTAGTTTAGAGTAGAAGCGGCAACACCGCATGGTCAAAAATATTTTTAAAGTGTAGATCATGGTCGTTTATCCCGGTTGCCAAATTTTCAAAATGATTCGCTTTTTAGTTCTCCATAAACGTCTAATACGCCATCCACCGTGGGACACCCTGTATACTTAAGTAGGTATGTGGTAAACCAATAAATCATATTGTGTCGCTGTCTAGACAGGGCACTTAATAAACAAAACATTAAGTATTAAAAAAAAGAAGAAACAATACAACATGCTAAAATCTGTAGAGAAGGCGACTAATATTAAAATAGAAAAAAAATAACAATAATAAAAAGTTTAAAATGACCTTAACAATAAATAGACATGACATAAGTAATACCTCGAATAATACCTAATATTGTGATTTTTACAAACAAGAATAAAACCACTAACAGAAACAATTGTTAGATCAATTTGATTTGTCTTCTTAAACTTTCCAGTCCAACATTGAATTTATTTGCCAGTCTTGAAAATCTAGTTATAGGAGATGGAGAATTGTAACCAGGGATCAACCGATACCGATATGGCATATCGGTATATCGGCGTACCGGCCTTTTTCAGGTATATCGGTGTATCGGCATATCGGCCAATCATTGGCCGATAACTTTAGACCGATACAAATCATATTTTAAAAGATCAGTAATCAAATCAAATCAAATCAAAATTGCTTTATTGTAGGAAGACATAGTCTCATTTACAAAGCTGTGGAAAATAAACTACATAATCATAATATCCATAAGATCCAACTTCCTAATAGATTACATATCTTATTATATAACTAGTAATAAAATTCTAATCACTAAATAATGTAAGATAATAAAAATAAAAATAAAAATTAAAATTAAAATTAAAATTAAAATTAAAATTAAAATTAAAATTAAAATAAAATAAAAATAAAAATAAAAATAAAAATAAAAATAAAAATAAAAATAAAAATAAAAATAAAAATAAAAATAAAAATAAAAATAAAAATAAAAATAAAAAAATAAAAATATCAATATCTACCTATAAATGAATGAATATCTAGGGTAGCATTGGGCTAGTTATTTAAACCTAATTGAAATTATGGGACAGGAACTCATCAAAACTGTAAAACCCCTCCGCAGCCAAGAGTCTTTTCACCGTATTTCTAAACACCCTGTAATCTACAATTCGTCGAATATGGACAGGCAACTTATTGAACAGCCTTTTACTATTATAAAGAATCGAGTTCATGGTTAAAGTTGAAGAGGGAATGGGCAGATCAATGGTAAACGAGCTTCGAGTATTTACAGCGGATACAGAGTGCACCAGATTCAGGTACTTCCTATGCATTAAGCACACAGACTCCAATATGAAAATGCTATAAGCCGTCAGTATTTTTTCAGCTTTAAATGTAGGCTTGCACGAGTCTCGGAGTCGTAAGCCGAAAACACATCTAATAGCGCGCTTCTGTAACACAAATACTGACTGGAAGAGGTTATGAGAGCAAGAGCCCCAGAAACAAATGCCATATCTTAGATGGGACTCTATAAGAGAAAAATAAACATTCTTTGCGATATCGGTATTTAATTCATTTTTTACGGCCCTGATAGCGAAGCAGCCGGAAGACAGTCTAGAGCACAAATTGGAGATATGAGTCCCAAACTTCAGCCTACTGTCAATGTACAAGCCCAAAAATCGGTTTTCGCTCAAGTTGTTGATAGGCTGACCGTCAATTGAAATGGAATTATTGAAATTACCCTTAAAGTGAATTATGTTCGTTTTGGAAACATTAAATGAAAGCAAATTAGCATCACACCATTTTTTGATATTTGATAGGTCAGTGTTCACCATGTCATTGAGCAGAGCAACACTACCATGATGCCACAGGATAGTAGTGTCGTCTGCAAAGGAAGTACATTGGCCATTAACAATCACAGAAGAGAGGTCGTTGACATAAAGAAGAAACAGAAGGGGTCCCAGAACAGACCCCTGAGGAACCCCTGCTTCAACCCGGAGCTCAGTGGAAGTGTAGTTGTTGAAAGATACGCTCTGGACGCGATCAGATAGGTATGACTTGAACCAGTTCAAAATTGACCCTCTGAAACCATAAATCTCAAGCTTGCCCAGCAGAATCCCATGATTGACACAGTCAAAGGCCTTTGCCAGGTCACAGAACACTGCCGACGCGAACTCTCGATCATTGAGGCCAAGATAAAGTTGATCCAGAAGGTGGAACATTGCATCATCTGTATTTTTTGTGCACTGAAATCCGAATTGTGAGGCTGAAATAACATTATGCCTCTCCAAAAATGAAGTCATACGACCCTTAACAATCCTTTCCACAACCTTTGCCAATGTGGGCAACAAAGAAATGGGCCTGTAGCTAGAGGGTGAGCCAGTATCACCTCCTTTAAATAGAGGGATGACTATGGCCGTTTTTAGAAGAGGGGGAAAGTTTCCCAATTCAATGGAGTTATGTATGGCATCAGCAAGGGCACCAATGGCAGCATAAGGAAGATAATCATCACTAAGGCTTTTTTGAAGCTTAAAACAGCTAATAATTGTGATTCGTACATATGGAAGTGACTATGAAGAAAGTAAATATTAGAAATTATTTTTCATAAATTTATTTTAAATTAATTAGGTATTTATTTTTAAAAAAAAACTCAACATTCTGCTTATCTAAACTCAAATTCAAAATTATTTATAAATTAAAAAAACAAACTAAAGGAAAAGGTGCGAGAAAACAAATAATATATCGGTATCGGCCTTATATCGGTATCGGCCTTATATCGGTATCGGCCTTATATCGGTATCGGCCTTCTATAAAGCCATATCGTATCGGTATCGGCAATATCGGTTTAAAAAAAAAAAACTGTATCGGTCGATCCCTGATTGTAACCATAATTAGTAAGATGATAGGATGATATTATACATAAAATAGTCTATTGTTTCTTATGTTATGTGGTACATTAAAACCTCGATTAAAACCAACCTAAGATAAGAGCTAAAGTGACTGGATTATATTATTCACCAGTTTGAACAAAATACACAGGTCCAGGTGATCTCTCCTTTGGGTTAGAGTTTGCACGTTTGAAAGTTTTAAGATATCATCCTCGATATCATCATAATTAATAGAGTCATGACTAATATTTAGTTTGTAAGCAACATTTTTTTAAGAATCTTCGTTGTACCCTCTCCAGTTGGTACTTATGTTTACCATAG